CTTTGTAATCCCAGTATCTAGCAGTGTGCTGGCAAATGAGTATTTGTTGAGTTAGTAAGACAGTGGATGACTATGAAATAAGAATATATTTTAGGCAATTCTTTTGGTCATATTATGTTTTCTTCTCTAGGCAGGAAAAATACTATTGTATTATAAGGATCAGACCAAAGACATCTTGATTAGATTCACTGCCTGGTGTTGTATTCTAGTAAGTAACCAACGTTCCATGTTAAAGTTCCTTTTCTTTATGTATATATATTTAAGAAGAAATTAAATGTATAATAACACTAGCATAGCAGCAGTTTTCACATCTCAACAAGTAACCTTCTTTACTTGAATGACAGAAAGGAGCAAATCTTTACATGTAAATACTCAGATTTATTTTCGTAGGAAAATGTCTTTATAAATAAGACAGCGTTTGCCATAAAACAGCCAGTCAGGAATCCATGAAGATGGAATTGAGGTATGGATTCTGCATGGAGAGCCATATTAGGACAAGTAGACACGGGTGTTCAAACATCACGTTCCAGATTTACATGTGATAAAAGAATTTGCAACAATGACTGATGATTTTACCTGAGACCATGCAGTCATGTTTCCCCTTCGGAGTCAACATAATTTATCAATGAGTTTATCTTCTTCACCTCACAGGAGAATAACTTTTTTTTGGAGAATAATTTTTAATTATACTCTTAATAGTGTTTTTCCGTTTAAAAAAGTAAAATATAGGACCCAATTTTCAGCCCTCCCTAAGCAACTTAAATAACTACTATTTTTTGGTATTGGCACACAATTGTTATTTTGGGAGAATATATAAATCTTTTACATCTTTCCTTCCTGTTACAGGGGCTTACTTCTGTTGCTTTGACGAAAGTTTCTGAAAATGAAGGTTTTATTCCAGTAAACAAAAATCTCTGGTAGGTATAGAAAAAAGTAAAATTTTCGTTTTGACTGTTGAAATCAGCCGCATTGCTCAGGAGCACTGAGCACCTCATTCCACTCTTTCAGGTCCATTTCATACGTCACCACGCTGAGCTCTTTTGCCTTCTTCATCCTGCTGGTCCTGCATCCCATTGTGGATGTGAGGCGACTGTGGACAGGAACCCCATTCTTTTACCCAGGTAAGTCACCCCTGACCCCAAAGAAAGTCAGCAATGGTCGCCCACATCGAACTGGCCCAGAGAACAACTGACCATGTTCATGCTGGTGCCTTGAGCCTCTGCCCTGGTCGCATGTTTCCAAGGTCAGGCCGAGGGTGAAAGCAGCAGGGGTCACACTGGGTTTCACTGGACCTGTTGGGAAACAGTCCACTCCATTTTTACCCATTTAGGTTTTGGGGACCCGTTGTGTGACGTTTCACATTTAATTCAGGCAATACCAAGTTGTGAGGTGTCCGAAATGATGCAGGGCATATTCTCCAGTTTCTAATACTTAAGGGACCATACTTTCGTTCTTAACGTAGTGTGCTTCTTTAAAGATTATTCATTATAAGAAATGTCAGAGATGATATCAAGAAATAAATGAAATGGCTTAGATGCAGTTCTACCTGAAGACTGAGGGATAGATGACTCATTTCTGCCCCTTGGGTCGAGTTAACAGTTATATCCTTTGGACCTCAAATTTTCTGTCTAGAAAATATGTTAACAATTTTAGCTTTCCTTGGAGACTTAGTATTGTTATAAAATGAATATTTTCTAGTCATTGTTTGGATATAATTTACACTTAAATATCTAAGATAGGCATCACTTATTTTTTGGTAGTAGCCAATAATATGTGCATGCTTTATGCTTTTTCACTGAAATAGATTTCAAGAATGAAATATTCATTAGTAATCAGGGAAATGCAAATCAAAATCACAGTGAGATACCACTTCACCCCCACTAGCATGGCTATATGATAAAACAAACAAATGGAAAACAACAAGTATTAGTGAGAATGTGAAGAAATTGGAACTTTTACATTGATGATGGGAATGCAGAATGGTATAGCCTCTATGGAAAACAGTTTGGCAATTCCTCAAAAAGTTAAACATTGAATTACTGTATAATCCAGTAGTTCCACTCCTAGGTATACACCAGGAAGACTTGAAAGCAGAGACTCAAACAGATACTTGTACACCATTGTATCACTATTCACCATAGCCAAAAGGTGAAAACGGCCTAAATGTCCATCAATAGATGAATCTATAAACAAAATGTGGTATGTACATACATACAATAGAGTATTACTCAGCCTTAAAAAGAAATGAAGTTCTGATACATGCTACAACATGGATGAAACTTGAAAACATTATGCTGAGTGAAATAAGTCACAAAAGAGCAAATATACATTGTGTGATCCCACTTAATGATGTATCTAGAATAGGCAAATGTATAGAGATGAAAGTCATTAGCTGTTGCCAGGAGTGGGAGGGAGAGGGAAAGGGGGTGTCATTGCTTAAGGGGCAGAGTTTCCATTGAGAGTGATGGAAAACTTTGGAACAAATAGTGGTGATGGTTGTACAACATGATAAATGTAATTACTGTCACTGAATCGTATACATAGAAATAATGAAATGGCAAATGTTTTGTTTTATATATATATATATATAAAACCAAAATTAAAAAAAAAAAAAGAATAGATGACCAGCTGTGACTCGGAAAACATTATCTCCTTTATCTCTCCTTCAGGAATGAATTCTATTCTTGTGTACATCGGCCATGAGGTGTTTAAGAACTACTTCCCCTTTCAGTGGAAGCTGGAGGATAACCAGTCGCACAAAGAGCACCTAACTCAGAACATCGTCGCCACCGCCCTCTGGGTGCTCATTGCATACATTCTCTATAAAAAGAAGGTTTTTTTGAAAATCTGATTGTTCCTGCTCACTGGCCAACTTTAGAGGGCCTGGAGGAGTATTGAGACAGCCTTTATTAAAGGGCATCATTGATTCTAAAAGGATGCTGATGTACACAAGCTGGTTTACTATGACATGGAGCATCAGAACTCTGCCTGTATGTTTGTGACTTATACGCTTGCAATGTCATTGTCTTTCTTCCTCCATCTTCTATATAAATGGATATATTTGGAACTTCATTTTAAGGAGATCTCATTTAGCTTTCCAAAAGGGAATTACCATGGACATCTTGCTTCTATGATGGATAAAACAATCTAAAGTCTGGTTCTCATTGATCTTGTTTTCCCACAAACTGCCTTTTTGTATGTGCACGTGTCAACAAAGAGTACCATCATTTCTATTGCGGCTGACTCTAAAGCTCGTTGAATGTGATATGCAGTAATATAGTATAATATTTTTCATTTAAGTGCAGTTTGATGTTTCAGGAAAGCCAGAATAATTTCCTTTTTAGATCTGCAAGGCAGTATGAGTCCAAAAAATGCCTATTAGAAGCCATTTTCTCCTCTTCTTCACTGAAAAAAAAAAAAAAAGTTAAAATACAGCTGTTATTCCCAACCACTCTTGCTTATAATTTATGTGTCTATCTATCTATTCATCCATCCATCCATCCATCCATCCAGAGGATAGCTAGGTACCCATGGATGTTGCTGTGGGACAAAGGAAAGCACACTGCTCTTGTTCTTGGGTCCAGCTTTGCCCTCATTACTGTGTAAGATGCTGGGCACATCTCTTGGCCTGTCTGGGCCTCAGTTTCCTCATCTGTGAAATGAGGGGAATGGAGATGACCTCCTAGGTCTCTTTCAGTTGTTAGCCTCAGTGAAGTAGGATATATCAATGGCTTTTCTGAAATCTTCAGAAAAATAATTACAGAAAACATCTTCAAATTAAATGAGAATGGAAAGTTTTTTTTTAAAACTCATTGAAGTAAATCTCTTTCAAAGTGACCCTCCACAGTGGAGGCACCTTTGCTGCTTGTAATCACAATACCGAAGAAATAGTTTCTCAGGAGTGAAGGTAGGAGAACACGCAAAGAGGAACAGCACTTTTCATATGATGCATCATCATACTTAACAAATTTTCCATGAGAATTCCATAATTAAGGAAAAAGTGATAATAGGGTTGTACTCGAGACCACCCTTCTGTGGCGAGATGGTGCCGTCTCAACCTATTCTTTTGCTTCAGCTGTTGTCACTACATGGACGACTTACCAGTCTGTTTCCAGTTCCAATTTCTACCCTGGACTCTCACCCCAATTTTAACTTCCTACTGGACCTGTCCACCTAGATGTCCACAGCATCTCAGGCTCATCATCTTCCCTCCTCTTTTGCCCCAGATTCAAACTTGTTTCTCCTCCTGATTTTCCTAGCTCTGGAATGGATCACTCCCTGTCTCGAGGTATAAAACTGTCTCTATCTTTTCACCCATTTTTACGTCCTCTATCCTTTTTCCATATTCACTCATTACTAAGTCCTCTCGATTCTTTCTCCATCTTCCACCTTAACTTCTTCATTCTCATTGTCACTACCTCATTACTCTAGTCCAGGGTTTTGTAATCAGTGTAAACTGGCCACCTTTCCTCAGTCCCTCCTTCTATGAAGTCACCTACTATTGCTGCCGTTTATAAAGCAGAGCTTGGATCAGATCACCTCTCTTCAAAACCTTCCACTGAAGTGGAAACATCTTTGCCTGGCGCACACAACCATCCGCAGTTGAGCTAAGCATGCCTTCCTAGCTTCCTTTCCCCACCTCCTTTTACCCACTCTACTTAATCTAACCCAGCTAGACTCCTTGCCACCTCCGTAACAGAGCCAGTGCCTCCTGCTTCTTTGTAATCTTCCTGGATTATTTTTTCCTCCTAATTTTCTCCTATCTACATTTGACCTATCATTTTAAATACCCCTACTTCTAAGGAATCTTCTCTGATCTCTTCATCCACAAGATTTTCTTCCTCTGGCTTCTTGTAATTTGCTATGTCATGGCAGTTATCACTTTCTGCCTTGTCTGATAGTTGTGTACATGTCTAATTTCCCATACTAGACTATGATCTAAAGGGCAAGAATTATGCCTTGTTCATCTGTATATTCTTCATGGCGCCAAATACAGTGCCTTGTACATAGCAGGCGTGAAATAAACATTTATTAAAGCAACAGTTCATTATTTTTTGAGATTTAAGTGCTGATAAAATCAGCATGTGCCTGGAGTGCCCCGTGAAAATGTTCATGGAGCTAATGTTTATGGGGACAGTCATCTTTGAGGAAACCTGCTCCTACTTTTCTCTAGAAATGAGCCATTACGGATGGCCATAGCTGTGCCATCCTAAATCCCAGGAATCAAAGCTGCGTTGGACTTCAGATGAGTTATCTAGAAGTATTTCTCAAATTGGCTATTATATCAGTTAAGATGTCTTGAGCCATAAGGAACAGGAAATCCAAATTCAGCTGAGTTACACGGAACACTTAATCTCACATAAGTCCTGGCTCTAGCACATCAGCTTGCTGTCAGCTAGCTCACTTCCTGGTTGTGAGGTGGTTGCCATGAATCCAGGTGCTACACAAAAACACCACCCAGTGGAAGAAGCAGGCCATCTCCTTTGTGTGTCTCAGAATTTTATTAGCCAGAAATCCTTTCCCAGAGGCCTCTCAGCAGTCCTCCCTTCATCCCTCCTTGGCTAGAAGTACCTCACTTGGCTGGCCGAAACCAGCAATGGCAAGGGAACTTGGACTAACCAAGCCCACGGTTGTGTGGCGGAAGGTGAGTTAGCTGAATAAAACCAGGGTCTTGCAGTAAGAGAGAATCAGTTGTGTTGGGGGTGAGTGACAGAGTGGGGAAGTGGCTTAGGGGAGGACAACCAACAACGGCTGCTCAAATACATAGCACATTGCATCTTAGAGGGAAGTAGGGATGGAGTTTTTAAGTAATAAAAACTACAGAGCAGAGGGATATGATAATTTGACAGATTTCATTCATGTTTCCATATTTATTAATTCCTATTTACAATTAAGTGAACAAACTGCTTCTCTTATAAATTACTTACCTCTTCACTGTGGCCAGTAAAAAAAGGGCATCTTTTATAAATGTGCAGTAATCTACAGTTTGTATCCAAAGGGTACCTACTTAAATGTCAACATTTTTTTTCCTTTAATGTAACTGTTTTCCAAATAAGTGGGGAGACAGACTTTGAGAAGATTTTCCAACATGTTAAACTGTTGAGACAGAAATCTCCATCAGTCATAAAAGAACTAGAAAATGCTAAGCAATATACCATGTAAGCTGTGACCCCCATTAATAATGTCACTTCTGGAATAATCCCTTTGTCTCAGAGTTTTGAAATCTTTAACACAGCTCTGGTTTAAATTTTGAAATCAGGTGGGAAAACACATTGTGAGCGGTGGACTTTAGTTGCATATTTGTGTCATCTGTTTTCACCAGTGTAGTGAGCCAACGTTTTTCTCTTGGTGTGATCAGTTCTTGTTGGGCATTGGTTCCAAAACATTGTTTTTCCTTAGGCTACATGCATTCAAAGTTGATGGAAATGCTTGATGTTTATATTACGTCATAAAATGCCTCAGACTTTATAAATCCCTTATCTAATCATGTATGTCAAAACACTGCAATAGACAAAAGATGCCATTATCTTGCTTTTTTCCCAGAATTCCATCCAAAGCACTGGATATAAAACCAATAGGACAGCTGGCCCTGCTCCTGTGGGGGAGCACATGGCTTCCCAGAGTATCCATTACCGTTTTGGGTTCTGGTAGAATTCAATCCTTTTGGGACCTTCTCTATAGAAATCAATTCTCTGTCTCATTTTCCCGTCTTTCACAGTTAGCTGTTCTTGTATTTTATCCTTTTTGTTCTCACACCCTTCCACTTTGCCAAACAAGACTGTTTTTCTTCTGATATTTGATTAAACTCCGAATGTAACTTGGCTTACAAACCAGCATCTCCATCCATCCGAATCCTGTCATAAGTGACAGCTTATTAGTCATAGGTATGCTGTCGTCACTTTACCAAGTCACATGTGATGCCTACACGGGCGCTTTCCTTGTTCTGCAGACTTGGGTCTGATTTCCCAGTATATTTCATGGGCCTTTTACAATTCCTTCACACAGAAGTGGCATGGCTGAATAATACGCCCAGTGTCAGCTGACCTGTAAGAATTTATTAGCTGAGGCCTGCATAATCAAAACTGCTCGAAATCCTTTCTGTATCATCAGAGTTGAAATGACTTTACCCTCTCTCTCTAAAACTTCTTATCTAAGGTGATTGGTCCTTTTTGACCTCGTATCAACAGATTTGGGTATTAGAAAGTCTTGTTTTTTATTCTATACTTTTTATTTTTTTAATTGTGGTAAATATATAGGGAAGAAAACATTTGCCATTTCAACAGTCTTTACATGTACAGTTCAGCGACATACATGTTCGTCATGTTGTTCAACCATCGCCATTCCCAATTAGAAAGTCTTGTTTTGATGAGTGCTGCCCCGAACACAGATCTGAGGAAGGTGCTATAAAACCAAAAGGTCAGAGTGTTTAATTTGCAAGTTAGGGAGCAATGCACACCATGATAAAAACAGCAGGGTGGTTCATATACCTGTAATAAACTCATGTTACAGTGATCAACACTTTAAAATGAACTAGCGGAAAGAGTGCATCAGGTGTCTACTATATAAACCACTTTATTGATTTTAATACATCTACAGTCTTATTTGGAAACCCTGATGGCATAGTGGGTAAGTGCTATGACTGTTAACCAAAAGGTTGGCATGTTCGGCTCCACCAGGCGCTCCTTGGAAAATCTATGGGGCAGTTCTACTCTGTCCTATAGGGTTGCTATGAGTCAGAATCAACTCGACGGCAATGGGTTTGGTTTTGGTTTATAGTCTTATTTAGTAAAGATATGAAAAACTCTTTATGCAAAGTAACTGAACAACTTCTTAGCTCTTCTCAGCTTCTTAAATAACCTCTAAAAGCAAATGTGTGTTTGATGCTTACCTGATGTATTTCTGGAACAGTGAAAGAAAAAATAAACCTAACAGCTAACACTGGCCAGGCATTTGCCATTTGGGAGGCCCTCTGCTATGCATCTCCTTCCCAAAACCCTGAGGGAAGTGCTGCTGGCAGGCCAGAGCCAGTGTTTGAAGCCAGGTCTGGCCCCAGAGCCCATGGGCAAAAACCACTGAGCCACGAGGCACATGCAGCAGGCTATTCCTGCGGCCTGAGGAGGGGGAAGGCTCCTTGTGCCCTGCTCAGCCTCTACTTATTTCCTTTCTTGGGCTTTCTAACAGACCAAGTGCACTGCTCCTTCAGCATACTGTCACTGCATGGTCTGTGCTAAGACATGTCAGTGGGGTGAGGACAAGGCTCAAGGAACACATACGAATACTGGGATGGTTCATTTTTGTATAAAGGTTTTGGTATTAAAACTCCCTGAATGAAAAGGTCTAATATTATGTTGCCATTAACGTTTACTAAAGTCTAACTATGGAAAATGAAATCCTGAGATCATGGAAAGCATAATGTCTTTTTAAGAATCTACAAAATTAAAATTCATTACTCAGTTCAATTGTGTTAGATTTTTTCCTGCTATGTGCTTAGAAGAGCAGAAGAAAAATGCATCCCTATTAAAAAAACTCATAAAAATTAAAATAGTTGTTTAAAGTCTTGAATTTTAAGATGATTTTTATTTACAAAGCAGGATATGTTTTACAAAAATTATTTTAAAAAATGGCTCTTAAAAATAGAAATACCTTCTCAGACTCTTGGGAACTACTTGTAAGCAACCAATGAGTTAGAACTCAGATGGTTTTCTGGTTTTTAAGAGTTGTTCAAGAAACGCTGACCACTGCTTTATGACTTCCAAAGAAATTACACAGCTACAAACTCTCTGGCAGAAAGGTCTTCGGTCAAGTTAGAGTCTGAAGTAGCAAGATCTTCTCATTAATGCAGAACCTGTGCAGGACCACCATCAAGTTCTCACCGCAGCGGGAAACCTGGCGCTCCATGGCCAGGCGGAAGTCCTCCTTCACGCCTTTGGTGATGCCCCGAGTGACCGTGTGGTGCCTGAGGTCAGTGACAGGGAAACAGACGAGACCAGGGGTTAGCACCAGCTTCAGGATCGGAAGACACTGTTACGCCGGTAGGATAAGACCTAATAAGTAAAGCCTGACTCATACCTAAGTATCAATAAGTAAAAAATAAAAGAAAAAGCCCTAACCAAACAAGCCCCTTGCTCACTCCTTTTCACAAAGACTTAAAACTAGAGAGATCTTTTCCACTCTATAAAAGGTTATTTTAAACATCCAAATTTTTGGTAAAATGCCACCTGCTTTGCTTTTGAATTCCTGAAGCTCTGGCGTTACACATCCCTGCTGCTGGTGCTTGCACAATTCAGTGACTCTGGGATGAGAGGGTCCAGCTCACACTGGCCATGAAGCCCTCATGTCCAGCCAGGCCAGCAGACTCTGCTGAGGCAGCAGCAGTGGGAGGGAAACCAGAATGAGCCAATCACAACCTGAGTTTCCTCCATGGCCCTGTGGCCACTGCTCTGTAAAAGGCTAGGGGCTTCTGCACAGCCGCCAGGGTTCCAGCATATCTCTCTCCCCAAAATGACACAACAGTGCAGCTCCTGTAAGTGCTGAGCCCATCCAGACTCACGTCTCTTTGAGAAAAAGCGGGGGAAGTTGGGGTTCCTGAGATAAGAATCTGGCATAGGTGGGAGGAGAGGCAGAATCCCGGAAAAGCAGGGTTGAGGCCTGCCAAGTTCCACTGATGGACCAGGTCTGGCCCAGGTGCTCAGAGGAGACCTGGACAATTGTGGAGGGGTCAGTGGCAGCACAAGCAAAGAGGTTTCTAATTATACCCCCAAAACTGAATTTTAGAAAAGGAAATAACCAATGAAATCTCGGAACACTTAAGACATGAAAATACAGAGAGGAAAAGAAAAATCTAGCAAAGATCAATGGGTTCAGTTAAGAGGAAAGAGGGTTGGTAATTTGGTAGATGTAGACAAAGAGAAGTCAACTCTATTCCCCACCGCTACTGCCTGACTTCCCTCAGACACAGGGACAATTGGTTTTATGCATTGGCCAAAATAAAACTGTTGCAAACACTCTAAAATGTTTCTGTTTTTAAAACTGTAGTACCATATAAACAAGTATAGCAAGAGTCAAAGCAAAAAGTTGCAACGCAACAAAAGAAAAAAAAAATCAGGCTTTTAGACTAGTGAAGACCTTCCAGGATCCTCTACCATGCCCACGGACATTTTTAAGAACTACATAGTAAAACAGCAGTGCCATGGGCAAATACAGTTCTCTGTGGACATTTCCAGTCAAGTCCAGCTGGTTAACTCAGTAATCAGGACACAGTGTCAGTGAGGCCAAGGCCATGGATCCCACTGGGAATGGGCATAGACCATTTTATGCTGCCCTGAGATGCTTCTCTTCTGGGTCCCAGACCGCAACCCCCAATTGCAGCTGACCTTCAGACCAACTGTAAGTTAGGCATCTGCAGACACTAAGCTAACGGGTATCTATGCATGGCTCAAAGCAACTTTTCCCCTTAATACTAGTTAAAAATATAATAAAATGTTAGAACTTGCTGATGGTGGTTCAATAGCATCATTTCCATATATAAGAGCAGCACAGCTCGATTATATTTCTATCAGTGCCTCTATCACCCACGGAGGTTTGGATGAAGAGACTTAGTTAGCTTTTGTGGTTTAAGAACAGGATAAACCCGCTAATAAATGTGCATTCAAACCTATCAAATATTTTCATTTCAGAAAGGCAGATTCTGAAAGCAAACAGTATCAGTGGCAGAAAAAAAAAAAAACTGTGCTAAAGCTTACTTAGACCAAAGAAATCTCAACACTGGTCACTAATATGAAAATCCAAAAAATGGACTTAACATAAGCTTCAATGTCCTTAAATATTTATGACTGAATGCCTTATGTTTTAGCAAGAGAATCATAGCTTAGCCCCTAATCTCGTGTGCACTTTAATACAGCTTTATATAACTTTCATTTCTTTTTTCCAGATCCATAATGATTTTTAAATTGAACACAAACACACTGGCAACTTATGGAAAAAAATAAGAAATGTTACAATATTACAACCAGATGGTTTGCCAAGGAATGCAGAACAAATTAAAAAATAAACAAAGCATGAGGAAGGGCACTGAGTAACAAAGAGCTGAAAACCATGGGCAGTAAAACATGTTGACAAAACAGCACACTATGAGCAGGTGTTTTCCACTTGGTACCTGTCAGCAGTCTGTATGCTGGGCTGAAGCACAGGTAAGAATTCCTGCTGCAGTAACCCCATGGGAGGGCTAGAAGGCCTTTAAAAAACAGCAAACAGCAGCATTCAAACACCCACACCGACTCACCCTGCACTGCAAAAACAACACCGCACAGAAAATGCAGAAGGCTGGAAGCCGACTATATAGAAACGCTTTCACCTCAACAAGCATTGGCTGCAGCTGTTTGAGGAGGGCGTGGAGAAGCACGCGGCCCCTCACCGCACCGCCGAGGGGGCACGTCTAGCGGTCCCGGTCCCCGAGCTCAGCCCGCTGGTGATGTGGTATAAAAGGCAACCAGTGAGGAGAGAGGCTGATGAAGTGCAATTGAATGGCAGAAGGAAAAAGGGTTAACATTTGAGAAGACGTGTTTTCAAATCCAGCCTCCTTCACTCTCCACCAATCCCAGGATATACCTGGTTACTTTTTGTAACTGTCTTTGACAGGATTTAAGCACCAAACTGCAGGGATTCTTCCAAGGGGGCTGAGGGGTTGGCAATGCTTTTGATACAAAAAGGTTGTTTGAATTTCAAAAAGTATTAGGAGATCTAGGTTATTTAAAAACAAAACAAAAAATGTGAATAGGAACAGATGGGGTGAAAGAGCCTGGGACCCATGGCTTTGTGGCATTCTGTAACCACATGGGTTGTGTTCTCAGTAGAGCAATCACCTCATAGAACATTCTCCATTCTCTTCAGAGCATATACAAGACAATGTTTTCCATTTTCACTCAGTCTAAAGCAGCTAAGATACTACAAATATCAGTATAGGAACATTTCTCTATTTTAAAACATGTAAGAGCAAAATGTCTAAGTAACAGTCAAGAGCTCATCCTTCTTTCTGGTGAGGCACCAGGTCCCCTCAGTGTTTGTACTGTACCTGCTTGCATCCCAGATGCCACAACTAGGACAGGCTCAACAAGCTTACCCAGGGCGAGAGCTGTGTACTGCTCACATCTCTGCCACTCAGCTGGAGGGCCACCCCAAAGGTCTGCAATGGCTTCAGAAAATTTGTTTGGAACCCGAAGGGAAAAGGAATATAGACAGTTTTATTCACGCTTCAAATCACACCTCAGTTACTAAGAGCTCTCTGTCTTAGGCAGTGTGCAGTTTAGGCATAAGTAACGTGAAATGCAGACTTCAAATTAACTTTGAGACTCACACAGTGAAGACTGAGCAGATTCCTATAAGGTCCAGCCCACTAGGTAACAATCCCTATTCCTGCTTCCAAACCAATGAAGCAGCAAGTTTCCTAGGAGGCTTAATGGTCTTCCACAGGAAGTTAGAAGAAATTAAGGGTTATATCAACCAAGGTGGAAGAGAATGGAATTCTCCCTTAAAGGTCTAGAAATGCATGATGTGTATCCCCACCTTACCCCAAATAGCCCTTTATGATGCTATTATATGGAAGTCCAACTCCCCTTTGCTTTAATTCCTTGTCCTAGGGATTGTCTGCATGTATCCATGCAACTGTTCAGCTCAACAAAAACAGTTTGGTAAAGGAAGAAAGGTTCAGCACAATGTAATTTGTGGTTCAAATGTTGATTTTGACAGTCTGTTCTCTCACCTTCCCACAACAGTTAAGCATTACCTAAGTAAAGTGAGAATCACCTGTAGGTTTACTTCCAAGTAGGCAGAGTTTGGTTCTACTGTGGCTGTCTGCCTATGTCTATACTATGATAATGTGTACAGTCAGCGGAAATGGGAATAAACTAAAAAGCTATTAAAGGTAAGTTTTATAACCAGCCTCACAACCTAGAAAAGAAACTGCAACACAAAAGTGATTACCCGGCTTCTACATCAGTAAGTAATCTTTATTCTCAGCACTGTTGGTATTTTTGAACCATGCAATTATTTTTCTTTTAGCTTTTATTCACAATCTTAGGGAAATAAGTGGAAATGGAAGATGAGTGTATCTAGTCCCTCTTGCCTAAGCAACCTAATGTATAAAGGTCTCATTTTCTTTTCTTTTCGAGAGAGAGAATTTATCCTTTTATTTTAAATGTTTAGAATACATAGTAGCACTTGCAAAATGAACAAAACCCCACTTAATCTTTCAATTTTTTTAGACAGGATTCTACAAGACTCTATTCTAGATAAACCCGTTAAACCAAACCCTTTGCTGTCGAATCGATTCCTACTCATAGTGACCCTGTAGGGCAGACTAGAACTGCCCTATAGGCTTTCCAAGGCTGTAATCTTTACGGAAGCAGACCGCCACATCTTTCTCCTGCAGAGCAGCTGGTGGGTTCGAACTGCTGGCCTTTTGGTCAGCAGCCAAGTGCTTAACCACTGCGCCACCAGGGTTCCTCTATTCTTGCTAAGAGCTAAAAATGTTTGCTATGTGCCAAATACCTAAGGTTATAGAAACCCGGAATAAATATTTCTTACTTTCCTCTCTCAACATTTCTAAGATTCTACAAAGACAGAACTAGATGTGGACTTTTACTTTCAACAACTGAAAACTCCTGTTTTCTACTCTACAACTGAGGGAAAAAGAAAAATGTTTTAAGTCTTAGTAACACTTTGTTCTAACTCAGGGTTCATTCTCTTGCTGTGACTCTAATACTGACTGACAGACACACTGAATATGCAGGAAGCAAAGGAGGAAGTATGAAAATAAAACTGCACTTGGCATTTACAGCAGAAAAGATATTACTCAAATTACAATGAGTATTAAAGGACAGAAGCAAGATTTATGAGTTATTTAAAAATCATAAATGGTCACTAACTTGGTATTCTCATCTGGGCTAAGATGCCATTTTGGTAACACCAGGTGGGCATGGGAGGCTATGAATGGGATCGAGCACTCCCACCACCGTTGAAGCAGGTGTTTTTCTTGGAGGCAACAGACATGGCTATTTTACTCTGTACTATGACTGCAATGAAGATTGCTTAAGACGGCCTCAACTAAATGTTTAAGAATGATTTTTCTTAATTAAAAGTACTCTATGTCTATCAGGAATTTATAGAATCAGTCTCTAAATTTTGGAAAGGAAACGATACCATGTATAAGACTCCAGTCTAGTGAAAAGTTTTGAAACTGACAGAAATACCCCAAGTTAAACAATGTTGAATCAAAAATGTAGTTAAGGAAATACAAGTTTTTCAAAAGGTACCCAGAACCGAATCTACTCTCAAAAACAGAGACCATGTCTGGACTCCTTTCTATTAAATTTTTGAAAGGTGTAGAAATCTACTTCCTACAAGTACACAGAAGGTGAGCATTCAGCAAAGAAGAGCAAAAGACAGGATGCTTACTTGATCAGCATTCCTTGATTGGGGAGTAATTCCAGATGAATTTTCCCACCTTCCTGAGTTCTTAAGTAGGCAAACTCCTCCAGCATGTCAATATCTGTAGGCCTGATTCAGGTTAACCACACGTGAAAACATGGTGCTCCTGTTCTCTCAGATGAGGAATTAGAGGCTCTGAGTAATTTACTAACTTGCCCACTGCCATTCAACTAACAATTGCAAAGTCAGTATTTGAACCCAGGTCTGATTCCAAAGTTATGATTCTTACACCAAACAAGGTACGTCACAAAGACAGTTCTTGACCTAAGATTTGCTAGTCTAAAGGACATTAGGACAACATGTTTCCTGTATATATAATAATTAAACAGCTTTTACATAATCATAAAAGCAAAATCTTTGTTTTCTTAAATAAGAAATGGAAGGGTTGTTTTGGGTTATAGAATATACAATTTATAAAAATAAACTGGCTATTTCTTTATATCTAGTATGCAAGGATGTTTAGATGCTTCAGGGGAAGAAGTTTCTGTGAACTCCCCAAATTTTATGCAAAACATTGATGACACATTCACATGCAAACTCTCAAAAGGTGTCTGTATCTCAGAAAAATGTTAGGAACGTCTTCTCTAGGCACTCGGACAAGGTTATTGGATTCCCTGCAACTCAGAAATAATATAACTAGATAAGCAACGGATATAAATACCCATACTGATGAGTAACCTTCAACTCAAAGGTCTTTCCCTGGTAAACAGTATGAAATAAAGCAATTACTGTGTCGGGCAGCATCTTCGGTGGGTACTCAGAAGGAGCTACGGCATGGTACTCTAACAACTGCTCCCAGGGGACAACTAATGTCCTGGGAGAGGCCACAGTAGGCACTCTTTTGACAGATGAAGGCTAATGAACTAGTATATTCTATGGCTAACCCAGCCATTCTGGGCCTGCTGGGAACCTGTAGGCTATTACTTCAGGGCACTGGGGTACCTTCCTAGAAGTCGGCTGGAAATAAAGTGGTACAAGATTGTTAATATTCCTCATTTCTTGAATTATCCTCTCTGAAGCTTCTCATGACTTTCACAAGACAAGATACCACAGCCACATCCTTCATCGCTATTCCTTCTCTTTTCTCCCAAAAGGGGCTCATGAGTACATAATAAGTAAACAGTCAATACCATTACTTCTACCTAGAATGGTTCATTCATTTTTGTATCATGCATTCATTTTAAAAATGCAGAATTTGTTATGCTTGAACAAGAAAAAAGGATACTTGTAACATAATTAAAAAAATTCTCGTATTGGAAATTTCCTTGTTGGCAAATCTTATTGACAGCTTTCAAGAAAAGATTCTCTCCCCGTGGCCACTCGTGCTGAAGTAATACGATCACATGACCCAATGCCATGTCATCCCTGTTGTCCGTGAAAGCTCTAAGCTGCAAGACAAGGATTTATGCAAGACACAGAAGGAAAAGGAAATCACAGGGTAATTTAAAATAAAGCAAATATCACTTCCTAAAAAATGCTGCTACGTGAAAATGTGTGATAAAGGTCATTTGAGTAAGGAGAAAACAATGCGAAAAACAAAATCGCTACTTAAACATCACAACTGCCTTCTAAGGAGGGTGGATCCTAATAGAAAAAGCCTTGGGATCTCTTGGGACTGTGACAGAGGCTGGCAGTGTATTTAGATGAGAATGTTGATGGAAGTTGGCGATAACGTGGGTGGGCCTGAAGCTTTTGAATTTGAGAATAAGGGCTAAAGAAAGGTGAGCAGTTCTGTATAACAGGGAAGAATTTGGAGATTTCTTTTACAGGGGTAGGGGTGGAGGGTGGACAAGGGGCCACCTAGGAGAGAAGGGTTTGAGGAGAACGTGGGATTGGGGAGAAAGAAAGGCAGTGAGCAACGAGGCAGGAAGCTGGAGTATGAACTTGAGAAACGGCCAAAGGACTTTTTGTTTAAATGATCAGTTATGTCTAAAATCACACTTTAAATGGTTTCCATTGCCCCAAGAGATTCTGACGAGTTCAGTGTGGGAATTAATGCACTAAACTGGAAACCCAATACGGCTGCTCTCTTGTTCATAAACCTCCACGTAACAATGAGGCATCTCTGCTACAAGGCTCCCTCTTCCTGCAGCCAACGACCCTGATGCTCTTTCAGTACTCCTAGAGCTTTCCCAACTCTGTTGGGCCTGTGCTGGTGTTTATCCTAACGCCTAAAAGGCTTTCACCCATCATATCTTTATGATAATAAACTAACCGTCTCTCTATGAACCCAACAGCATTTGTATTACCTTCTTCTGGTAGCTAATAGATTCTGACTTGCATATTAATTCATAAAATATTTACTGAACACTACTATGGGCAAGGTTATTTGCATTTTTGCCACACTATTATAGGGTCGCTATGAGTCAGAATGACTCAGTGGCTACGAGTTTTGGTTTTATTATTTGTAAACTTCTTGAGGATGGGGATAATTTCCTATTTATCTTTGCCTAATATAGTTGTTATTTAGTAAACATTTATTAATTCCTAGCCAATATGCCTTTACCACTATACCAGCCTGCCTTTTAAAAGTACTAAACTACCATTCCCTCACAGGGCTCTCAATTCAAGTCATCCAAGATTATCAGAACATTTTTTCAAATTAAAATTTTTTCAGACTAATCAACTTAAACCTTACCTTAAAACAGGCCAGCATTAAATGCAGGCAATATGGCATAATAGCCTTACTGGTACAAGGCAGAAGCTTCAGATCCGAACCTAACAAAAATCCACAAAATGCATGTTGTTATCAAAGAAAACAACTTTGAAAAGCAAATGTTTACGATGTTTTAAAAAAAAAAAAGATAAGCAACAGTCACACGATTTCCAATATAATTAAACTATGATTATATTTAGTGATGGTGAAATTGGTTTTTGATGGTCTCTGGGTTTCACTCATCAATAGTCTTCTCTAAACTTGCTTAAATATCTTTTATTATAAAATATTTCAAACATATAGAAAACTCTATAGAGAGAATATTATAAACACAAGTGTGCTCACCACCCTGCTTTATAAAATCTTAACATTTTGCTTCAATTTTCGAACATGCTAACATAGATTATCACAAATTCAGTCGAAGCCTCTTACATATCCTTCCCTGATTCTATTCTCTTCCACCCTTCCTAGAGGTAAACATTATTTCAAATGTGGTGTTTATCATTGCTATGCATACTGCATACTTGTACGACATAAGTATGTATCCACAAACAACACAGAAGAAATGTTTTGTATGTTTTTAGTCTACTTTATAAATGGTGTCATACTATGTGTATCCTTCTGTAAGATGTTTTCACTCAAACTCACGTGTTTCAGGTTTATCTATACTTAATCATACAGTTCATAGATTTTCCCCTGTTATATACAGATGGTTCTCATTATTTGTGGATTCTATTGCCAAGCTGGCTATTCGCTAAAACCTCTCAAGGCACTTTTGCCATCATTCGTAGACATGGGCATGCCCAGAGTGGTGAAAAAGCCCCAGCCAGGAGGTCAAACAAGGCTGTTCTGTATTCACTAATTCAGTACTCTTGGGGACTTTATAGAATGTAACCATCATGAATGACGAGAATCAACATTGTAGTATTCTGTTGTTTACGTATACTGGTTTATGATAGACATTGATACTTCCAATTTTTCACTATCACAAACAATGCTGAAATAAACATTCTTTTATATATTTTCTTAGGCACTTGTGAAAAAAACTTTTTTAAACAATGGCTTTCAACCAAGATCCCAATCTTTTCCTGTATGGTACACGCTCTTTATATCTTAAATCCTCCTCTACCAGGAGGGCAAGAAGTAGTAGAAAATAAATATATTTTTACATGGGAGCCTTGTACACATATACTTACACTTGTTCATATATCAGAAACAAAAGGCACTAATTAAAAAAAAAATTATATTCTATTTCATTAAAGAAGAAAATTTCTGGTTGAAACTCATGAGCCAGAGAGTGAGAAACCAGTTTGAAAAGCACTGATCTGAGGTATATAACTAGAAGATAAGGTTGATAAAGTAGGCAAAGACATGTTCAAACTGTTAACGCCAAATTGGTTTCCGAAGTGGCTGTACAAATTTTCATACCTTCCAAAAGATACATATGAGTACTTCACATCCTAACTCATACTCAGTATTGTCACTGATTTTTGCCATTCTGATGTATGTGTGTATGCATGTATGTACTTATTTAACTTTTTATTATGGAAAATTTCCAACATATACAAAGCAAACAGAATAGTATAATGAACTCCCAAGTGCTCTTCGAAGAGTTTCAATAAATATCAAAACTCTTCTAGACCATTTGTGAAGACATTTTTTTTTTCCTTCCAAAGCTTTCCCAATTTAGTCTATGGTCCGTTTCAATTTTTTTTTTGTTGACCTCATAACATGAATTGGGAAGTATGGTAAAATGAGTTCCTTTATGTGGTCTTTTGTCTTGGGTCTTCAGAAAAACAGCTTGAGAGATTTACCCCTAAGCCCTGAGGAGTTACTGCCCTCATTTTCTACTCCACAGGGTCTGTTACTTTTGTCCAGGCTAACTGACATTTCCTGGGTAAGCTGTAAACAACTTGATGGCTTAATATGTTTTGTCTGGCCCTGGGCTGCAGCCTGCCCTGTGATTGGTCTATTTTACACACCTTGCAGGGACTGGTCAAAATACTTATGCAAATGAAGTGACTATAGCCTACTATGCAAATAAAGTTATGATCTACTGAGAAGGGATTGGTCAGTTCGTGGCCTGGTGGGAGGGCCATGCTTTGAAACTGATCAGGAGTTTGCTTATAAATGCAGCCAACCACAGAGGTTGGCAGACAGAAAGGAAGAAGCGGCAAAAAGGAAAAAAGGCAAGAAGAGAGAAGAAGCAGAGAGGAGGCAAGGAACCTTCTAAAGGAGCTGTAACACAGGTCAAGGGCTGTAACACTGAAGTTGGTGAGGAGCCTGGAAGAGGCCCTGCAACAGAACCAGCAGCAACAGGCCTGGAAGGGGCCTTACCGCAGAGTCGGTGGTGATAGCAGAAACCTGCTGCTGGGAATGCAGCTAAGAGAGCCGAACAAAACTGCTCCACTGGCTGTGAGCTGGGCCAGTGAGCAGTGAAGGGGCCAATGGCAGGGAGGCTAGAGGCTGAGAGGCCTGTCCTGAGACGGCCGAGAGGAGGCCTGACCTGAGGGAGGTGAAGACAAGCCTGTCCTGAGGGGGCTGAGAGGAAGCCTGCATGACTGAGAGATAGAAGGGCCTGCTTGGTTGCACAGCTGAGAGGAGAGAGCTGTCCTGCACTGAAGAAGGGAGGGATGTGCTTTCCACTTCTGGGGAACCTTCCAGACTTCGCCTACATGCTTCCTGATCCTGACCACGAGCTGTAGCCTGTTGATCCTTATCCTTAATTATACCGTTACTTCCTTAACAGACCACTTAACTGTAAGTACGGTCTGTGAGTTCTGTGTGGCCATTACAAACGATTATTGAACCCAGCAGAGAAGTAGAGAGTGCCATGGGAAGGGTGGCTAGTGTCAGAAATAGAAAAGAAGCTACGGAGTGGAGGTATGTCTGACCTCCACCTCATAGGAATTAGCTTTGTGCTGATGGTGATTCTCTCTTCTCCTCCTGAAGTTAGAGGAGTTCAGGTACTATTACTATAGTTATAGAGGAAGTATTCCTTCCACCTCTATTTTTCAAAAGAATTTATATACGGTTGTTATTTCTTCCTTAAATGTTTGATAGAATTCACCAGTAAAGTCATTTGGGCCTAGAGTTTTCCTTGTGGGGAAGTTTTGATAATAAATTCATTTTCTTTGATAGATACAGGAACATTTAGATTTTCTATTTAATTTTGCATCAGTTTTGGTAAGTTGTGTTTTTCAAGGAATTTTTCCATTTCATCTAAGTTGTTTAACCTATTGGCATAAAGTTATTCATAATTTATTCTCCTATTGTCCTTTTGATTTCAGCAGGATCTAGAATGACATCCCCTCTTTCATTCCTGATATTGGTAATTCGTGTTTACTCTCTTCTCGATCAATCTTTAATCTATTAATCTTTTCAAAGAACCAACTTTCAGTTTTTATTAATTTTCCCTATTTTGTGTTTCTTTTCATCAATTTCTGCTCTTATCTTTATTTCTTGCCTTCTACTTTCTTGTGGTTTTTTCTAACTTTTAAGGTGAAAACTTAAAGCACTGATAGTGAGCCTTCTTCCTTCTTTTATAAGAGTTTCAAACTATAAATTTATGTAGCTTTTCAAGCAATGTGCAACTTGAGGTGGAGCCCAAAATGGCCTGAAAGGGAAATACACTAAAAGATACTTTTTTATTTAATTACCTAAAAGTTTTCCTAGAACTGGTAAAGATAGAAAAAGGAGTTCACTGATAATCTTCACAGAGATAACAAACTCAGGAAATGAAGAGAACTTCAGAAGAAACACAGATTTATAGCTGCTTATAAAATTACAGCCAAGAAAAAACTTGGCAAAGGATTAACTTTTTATACAATTTATCAAGCCCTGCAGATCACAACAGGATTATCTTATCTGGAACTGTAAAATATTTCCCAGCCTTGGGTCCCAAAACGATTTGTACAAAATAAAAATAAAACATGTCACTGTACCTTTCCTAAATTTGGGCTTTACTTTTGATGGTTCTTCCTGTGATTTGCCTCCATCTTGAATGGGGAGTACCATGTAGCACATCAGATCAAGGACTTTTTCACACATCATCTAAAGAAGATAAGATTAAAAGGAACTAACTTGAAGTTCTTCTGAAACTGAAATCAAATTAAACATAACACTGCAACATATAAATGCAACAGAAATATTGGGCAACATCTGTACATGGAGATCTGCAGCTCTGCCTCAAGATTATACACTTTTTAATGTGATTATTACTGTTTACTCAACAGTGAATGCAGAAAAAGTAACGGTCAGATTAAATCTATACTAGCCATTTCAGGGAATAATAATACCCCCCTCCCTTTTTTTGCTGTTAAAAGACCAAAAGACCAAAACTTAAAAACTAATCAAGTAATTAATCAAGGACTAAACTTCTACCAAGGTGTTTTAACAGTATTAATGGCATCCCAAAGAAGTATGTCTCTGCCTTAAAGACATTTACTAACTCACTGAAAATAACAATGAACAAGGTAAGGATGAAACTGTATGATGGAGACCACAATTTAAAGTGAAGGAGAAATACACACACAGGCTAAACCAGCAAGGAAAGCTTCAGGCAGGAAGGTTCCCCTGATCTAAGCCTTTAAAGACGGGAAGGATTTGGAATGTAAAAAGGAGAAAAGACGGCTTCTCAAGCAGGAGAGGAAGATGTGGGGAAGGACCGTGTACTGGTGTTAGGTGACTGACTTGAGGAAAAGGAGGGTTCAGTTTCGGAAATAACAGAGATATGAAACTAGACAGATGCAGTGCTGGTGGATTAGAGGAGGCCGCAGATGCCACACTGAGCAGACTGGTTTTGATCCACAGAAAGTAAGGCATTGCTGCTCGACTTCTGTCTACCTGTTCAAATCCTAATAAGAAGAAGACTCCATTCAGCGAGCATTTTCTGTATGTCAGATACAACCCTCTTATTATTCTCGTTTTACAGATGAGGAAGCAGTCTTAAAGCTGTGTTTCCCAACCGTTTTCATGTCTTGGCACAGCAGGGTAAGAGAAGACACTACTCAGAGTTGGCAGCAACCAACCCTGGGAGATCTAGCTGCCCTCGGCGACAGCTGACTGCCCCAAGGGCTGAAGGCGCTCATATCTTGGCACGCCTGGAATCTATCCAAAGCCACAGGGTTGTGAAGCCCTAGCTTAGAGAGACTGGCAGCTTACTAGTTAAGAACTTGAACTCTGGAGTCAGATAATCCTAGTTAATAATTGATTAGCTAGAGTAAGGCAACCATGACTTGAAAGTTTTGTGTCTAAGGGCTGGGGAACTACAGAAACCCACACCTGCACATGGTGAGCCACAGCTGAATATGCAGGAGTCAATCAGGTAAGGCACTACAGATGCAGAGCTAACAGTGCTCAGCTCAGAGCGGGTTAACTGAAGCCCTCAAAGAGAATCAGTTTGCCTAGCTCAATTAAGTTTGAGTTTAATTTACATTCCTCACTACAGTGAAGAACAGAAGTGCCCCATATAGCTTCTAAGTTTACATGACCTACGTAGATCTGTGCAGGTGAAGATGCACCCTTTTTTTCAGTTCTCAGAATGACTTAACTGAAACTTAGAATTACAAGGTATCTTATAATTACACAAATGATGGTGGAAAAGTGTTTTCAATTTTAAATGCACATATTGTATATATTCTCCAACTGTTTCTTTCTAAAAATCATCATGGCAAATTATATAGAGAGATGAGAAAAAAATCATAGTTTGTGTGTTAAGTTGTGGTCTTGAATTTATATAGCACCTATATACATATAAAGTGTGTATCATTTTAATTGATTTCAAATGCGTATTAAGTAGCCACTCCGTGCAAATGACCTGCCAGATGCTGTGAGGGATTCACACCTGTAGTAGGAGAGGCTCACAATCTCATGCAGGAAAAAGACCCGTATATAAATCTTTTTCTGCAGCATCCCTATGAGGTAGTATCACCATTTACAGAGGGAGAATCTGAGGTTTAGGTAAGTTAAGTGTAACACCTCCTCCCTTTCCCACTGAGTACTGGCCTCTTCTTTCTAAGTACAAGAAAACTGATTCCACTTTAAGGGAATTACAGGCAAGAAAGTAAAAAAAAGACCATCCTCCAACAAAATGGCACAAGGGCCAGGAAATTTGAAGAGTATTGAAACTTAATTTCAGGAAAGCTATAGTAAAGAGAAAATAAAGTAAAACAAAATCATCGTGATTGTCATTAGTAGATTAGATGACTAGATCTAAGGAGACAGATCAAAATTTCAAATAAACATGTATTGAATTAAAAAGCCATTCTAGGAAAAGGAGAAAGCCCCCAGAGCAGCCAAGCAGCCAAGGGCACCTGAAGTTCCTGTGCACGGCCCACAGTAGTACTTACCCTGTACTCCCCAAGAGCAAAGTGGCAAGTTGCTAGCTGGATAAGTGCTCTCTGGTGCTCCAGGGTCCCCTGTCCAGTGATCTGTGGCTGAGGGAGTGATCCTTGGAGAGCTGCTAAATGATGCAGGCTGGCGATGGCCTTTTTATACTGACCCTTAGAAAGACATAACAGCAAGAAGGGAAAAAAAACATAGCCAGAGGTAACTAAGCAACTAGCAAGCAACTACACATAAGATACGGTTACTTGATCACCTGAGGAGGAAAAAAAAGATTTAGGAACAGAATTAAACTGACTAATTAAAGCTAGATGGAGGTTCTAGATCCCATTTTCTAATATGGTCTTCACTCTCAAGACTAAACAAAATAACATAAGACCTTTGATAAAGTACATTTTGGATAAACCATTTCTTTAGAAATATTTTACTACTAACACGACTTCTATGAAGGATGTAAACAGCAACCTGCCCATTTTAACAATGAAGTTGGAAACTATCTCAGTAACTATCTGCTCTCTCCATTCTAGATATAAGGAGCTCAAGTACAGTACGGCAAGGCAGAATCCACCAGAGAGAGGAGGAAGAGTAAGAAGCACTCACCTTTTAATGAAAAGTGAAAAATCTTACTTTTACAGAGGGCTGTGACTGGACAAACCAAAAGTAGCATAGAAAATGCAGCCTTGTCATTTTGAAGTTATTTTCAGATGGTAGTGGACCATAACCCCTCAGCCACTGAAAACAACCTTTCTAAACAAGCATGGATTAGTCCACAGGGAGAACACGGCACATCCTGCATATTAAATTTAGTTCACAACAATAATCATTCTGATACAGGTATTTGAGATACGTATTATTTTACCTGATAGATGATCATATCAGTGAGGAAGATTCTTAACCAAAGCCAAGTATCTGTCTTCCATGCCAAACAAATTCTTGTAAATTCTGAGTGAGAATTCAAAAACGAATTTACCAAAAAAAAAATGTAACACAGAAACACAAAGCAAAATTAACAAACCCAGCAAGAGAGAACAGTCAAGACAGAAAATTACCAAGAAATGTATAGTAACTTTATACTCTGATTTCTAAAACAATGTTCTAGAAATTCTATTAGAAAGTAAAGTTAGAACATAACACTTGTCAGTAATACACAAATAATATTTTTATTAGGCACCAACATTTACTAAGCACCATATGCCAACAACTGTTCAAAGTGCTTTTCATGTATTCCCTTCTTTATCTTTTAAAATACTTTGCATTTCCCAGAATAAGATTCTATCTTACTTTCACCCAGTTAAATAACTGGGGGACACTAAGACCAAACAATTTCCCTCAAACTCCATTATAATATGCCCTCAGAATAGGAGCAAAGGGTTACTTGAATCTTAATAACTGATTAGGTATCCTGCTCAAAAAAGAATTCTATAAAATGTGTGAACTATTGTAATCAATTAAATTAGCCATCAGTGACTTGACATTTCAAGGAGCATAGTAGTATTTTAAGAATGATTTTATATGTAAAAATTAAACAGCACCAATATAACAAGCACATTCTTACCCTTGTCAAGGAATTCTAGGGAATAGAGCAACTCCCAGCTCTCCCTGGCCAATTTAAAGCTTTCTAACACTTCAATTGAGTTAGTAAGCTCTGCTTTATTGACTACAATGTGACGATTCCTTCCTTTTGCAGAACAGTCTTCGTCGTCTGAACTCTGCTTGTGTGAAAAACACAATTAACTCAAAGTTATAAATAGAGTCATATACTGGAAAAGTATTATGTTTATTGCTGCCAATTCTGATGATTAATATCAGAGCATACTATTATGAGTATAATACAATTTTTCTGAATTTAAAAATTTAGCTTTGAAAATTAATACAAAATTTTAATCTTTTCATGCTCACACATTCAATGTTTTAAAACTTTTTATTGTGGTAAAATATATATTACACACATTTTGCCATTTTAATTATTTTTAAGTGTACAACTCGGTGACATTACATTCACAATGCTGTGCAACCTCACACATTCAATTTTTACTTTTAAAGTTTATTTTTTTCTTACAATAAATTCTCAGCTTATGTTGGCTTAAAAGCAAAGCCATGCAGATAAATTTTCTAATAATTTAAAACCATATCAATTTTATAAAAGATGAAAATCAGATTTTTACACCGAGAGATACAGCTTAAGTTGCATCTGTTTTATCGTTTACCTTTTCCAATATGTAGTATTATTCAATTTACTTCCAAGTAATGGTATGTCATGTAGTGGTATAAAATTAAAGCCTGAGATCCCTCAGAAATAATCCTGGAGAAAAGACTTACTTGTCTTTTGTTCACTGTACATTACTCCTTTCCAATGGAAACCCCTCTTTTTAGTTCTGCTTCCCATCAATGCAAGGTGTCCATTCAGGAATTACGCTGGTCTCCAATTATCTAGTAACATCCTATGTATTTTACAATAAAGAGTTCTACTCTTGCTCTTCACCTCAAGTAATATAAATGGGAGACAGAGGAAAACTATGAAGAAAAGACAGGGCTGCAGACAGGCACATTTCTCACCATGCCCAAGGTCCAGTAAAATCACTCAAGGGCTGAAAGTGAGGGGAGAACGGTGACTGAGAGTAGGGGAGAAGAGGAGACAAAAAGTGGGTGAGGTTCCTGGTTCTCTTTGGGCATTTCAACTACAGCAGAGGTCGGCATGACCTACAGGCCAAACCCAGCCTTGTTTTTATAAATAAAGTTTTATTGGAACACAGCCACATCATTTGTTTATGTATTGTCAGTGGCTGTTTTCACACTGTAACAACAGAGTTGAGTATGGCCTGCAAAGCCTAAAATATTTATTATCTGGCACTTCATGGAAAAAGTTTGCTGACTCCTGAACTAGATAGAGTATCTATACTTTCGTGTAACACATTGGGCCTCCACTATAGATTTTCTTCAAAGAAAGGGTTCCTCTGCTTAAAAAAAAGTTTGAAAATCACTGCCCTGCACGAGCTTGCTGCCTGGCCATATTAGATGGTTATATTAGATTGCCACAATGTGATGGCTCCTCACATACTCTGGCCTGTTGCATCTTTGTGCAAACTGTTCCTTCTCAACAAAATCTACCTACCAATTCCAACTGACAAAACCGTTTACATCCTTCAAGGCTGATTTCAAATGCTGCCCTCCTTCATAAAACTTTTCCTGTATCTCCCTGTGGGTTGTAATTACTTCCTACCCTGAACACCTTGCCACTTCCCATTCTGAGGCCAGTATCCACCACAGTGTCCGGCTTAGACTTTCCATGCAGTTTTGTTTTTGTTTTTTGAATGTCAAATGGCCGCTGGGGGGACAAAATGCCTCCAGTTGAGAACCTCTGAGATATACAGTAATTACATTTTATAATTACAAAACCTAAGCTTTATCATTTTAGCTCCATAGCTGTATGTAACAAAGATTCATCTCTAACAAATCACAAACATATAATCTTTGAATAATTGTATCTGAAAGAATGAAAGGATTACCATGGTTTTCTCTCTTCCCTCAGCCAGTTTCCTCTTTTTATGTATGTGTTTATTACGATCGATTTCTATATCACCATACACATTTGACACATCCTCAAGAAGAACAAGTGGAATTTGGCTCTGGGCATTAGGACCTATGGATGGGGGGGAAAACACCAAATATTCAAAAAATCAGCAAGGAAGAGAATACTTAATACCAGGAGGAAGTTTACTAAACTGTCACTTGAAAATATGGGTCATTACAAATATATTCTGTTTGATCCCAATTAGGTAAACAAACAAATATATATGCATAAAAAAAAGACTATGGATAGACACTAAACTGATAATGGTGGGTTATGAGTGATATTTCCTTCTTTGTATTTGTTCTTACATATCTGCAAATATTACACAATAAATACGAATCATCAAATTATCAAAAAAGGAAGACTACAAAATTCTATGTATATTATGGTTACAATTCCAAACAAAATCTAAACATATGAAAGGCTATAAGGCAATTTATAAAAATGTGAACTGTGTTATACTAAAAGGATTGTGGGTGATATTACCATCATATTTCTAGTTTTCAAACTTTCTGGCATACATACATAGATTATTAAAATTTTTTTTGCCTACTGTGAAATCTACTTCAACACTTTGCTATGCCTGTTGCTTTTTCAAAACAGAGGCATTTAATATCTGTATTTAGTTTCACAGTACTACTACATCCTTTGATACAGAGATTTTTAATGCAAATGTACTTACATAAAAACCACCAAAAAAAAAAAAAGGCACCATTCTGCAGTTAGTTGGATCCCAGATCAATGGTTAAATAAACATTTAAATTCTCCTCATCATCTCCACTGAGGCTACCTTAAAAATTTAGGGGTACCTTTAAAACTCTTAAACCAACCTTGGAACAGAGATGGCTGTATGCTGTTGACATACTGGAATGCATTCTTAAAGAAGACCAACATAGTGGAATAAACTACTTGGTTTTTATATTTTGCATGAGTTTCATTATCAAAGTTGTTCATGTATCTGCAGAGATCCTTCATTCTATGCAAAATATCACCATAGCTTCTGAAAGATGAAGGATGATAAAGCTTACTCAATTACTCTGGGCTTCTCAGCAAAAGGTCTAAAAAAAGCACTGATAAAACCATTACCAATAAAACCACTATTTTTACCAAATGTAGCTCTAAACCCATTGCCATAGAGTTGATTCTGAATCATAGCGACCCTATGGGACAGAGCAGAACTGCCCTATAGGGTTTTCAAGAACAGCTGGTGGATTCGAACTGCCGACTCTTTGGTTAGCAGCACAGCTCTTAACCACTGCACCACTAGGCATGTAAAATTATTCATTGTTGCATACCAGTTGCCACTGAGTTGATACCAACTCATGGTGACCCCATGTGTTGCAGAGTAGAACTGTGCTCCATGGGATTTTCATGGCCATGATCTTTCAGAAGTAGATCACCAGGTCTTTCTTCCAAGGAGCCTCTGAGTATTAGAACCACCAACCTTCCAGTTAGTAGCTGAGCGTTTAACCATTTGTGCCACCCAGGGACTCTTACTGTCTGCATATAAATGGCAAATTTCCCCTTCTGAATTAGGGCTGTGATCAGAGCAAGAAATCAGGACACAAACATGCCAAGTAGCTTCTCTTTCCTCTAAATGCCAAGGAGAGCCTCAAACTCTACATCATCTTAAGAGTTCATACTTCAGTTAGGAATCGTTTAATAAAATGGAAAACCACTTCAATGTCCTTTGCATAAATTCCAAGTGTTAACAGAATCTGCCCAAAGAGAAGCATACCTATACATTACATGCTTTTTAAAAAAGTGTTTTTGTTTTTCACAAGGATTTTGAGATTATGCAATCCAAAGATGTAATAGGCGGTTTTAGAAATAATTTTTTTTTTTTACCGTCTTCCTTTATCCATCTGCCATTCACATCTCATTCCAACAACATTTAAAATCTTAAACAACCTCTCCCAAGGGTCCACAATCTGGGATGATTTTTCAGTCAGTCCTTCTATGACATACTTCTGAGAGCTACGTTTGCTAGGTGACATTAAATCAGATGTATCTTGGGTACCTACGATGTGAGAAAAAAGCAGCCTACAATTAACATTACTATTTATTATTTATGTAGTACTTGATAGACAAAGACTAACGTCTGATTCTCCATTCAAAAAACAAGAGCACAGAATCCAACAGGCTGTATGTTTTGTTCAGGGATGCACACCTGGCCATTGGTGTGAGGAAATGAATTTTGAACTGTGGTACATGTATGAAGTTCAGTGCACTGAAGTTACAGTTCAGCAAAGTAGACTGTACTTCAGTTAAAGAGTTGAGCTGGTTCCAGAAAAGTCTCATCTCTTAACTGCAGTCTTATTTTCTAGGTATCGTATT